ACCAAGAACCCAAGCACCTCTAGGACTTGTCAAACCTCTGCCTATTCCTGCTGGACCGGGAGAGAGTTTGTCCATGGACTTCATGGACACTCTCGTGTCCAGCAAGTCTGGGAAGAGGCACATTTTCAGCATCGTAGACAGATTCTCTAAGTATGCTAGGTTAGCTGCGTTGCCAAAGACCGCTAAGACAGAGCTTGTGATCAAGATGTTCATGGAAAAGCGGGTTAGAGATTTCGGATTGCCTAAGTCTATAGTGAGCGACAGACAGGTGCAGATGACATCCGAGAACCATCCCGAAGCTAACGGACAGGCTGAACAAATGAATCGGGTAGTCCAGCACCTGCTGAGGCATTACACAAAGCCCAGCCATGACCGGGATGAGAAGCTTCCTCTCATCACCAATCTGCACAATAATGGTGTGCATAGTACAACTGCTCAGACACCGAATCAGCTGCACCTTGGATGGAAGCCAAGGACACCATAAGACTTCCTACTGCCTGACACTAGATGACTGCTGCACCGGGTAGCATCGAGTTCAGTATAGAGTACAAGAAGATGCTGCAGAAGGCTACTGTACAAATTCAGAAACCTCAGATTGCAATGATTGCATCTGAGAGCAGATGTAGAAGGGAGTCAAAGTTTCCAGTGGGAGAAAGGGTTTGGGTCAAGTCGTCAGAATTCACAGTAGAAATCGATATCTTGTGCAATCTACTGCCACAGTACTTCGGACCGTGGGAAGTCCTTGCTATGTGATCTGTCTACCCCATCTGATCCTGATGGTCCTTCAAATGTGATCCGTCTACTCCTGCATCTATGCACTGACCCAGTCTTCCATGCCTCTAAACTTCTTCCTCTCGCTCGGACTGGTCAATTTCCTTCAAGAAGGTCAATGCTGCCCCCAACCATGGGTGGGCACATGGACATCAAACAGATTGTAGAGCACAAGTTAATGCCTGTTCCTAAGCCTGTTGGCAGAGGAAGACCTCTGAAACCACGGATGCAGTTCCGGGTCAGATTCAAGCACCACATCGATCCTAAAGAAGACAGATGGTTCATAAGAGAGGAGCTGATAAAGACAGCACCTCACGTCGTCTCCAGTTATTAGACATCTTTGAAGGGGAAGCATAAAGTGGATTCAGAGCTATCTCAGAGGCTTTTGAAGCTGAGGGGGAGGAAGTGCAAGGAATATGGCCCACGGCCTGGTCGAATTCAGGGCCTGCGCCCACTGGAAAGGAGCTGAGCCCGGTTGTAACTGTCTGTGCCCGCCGTAAGTGAAGGCGGGCCCTGGAAATTGGTCGTTGATAGAAACACAACAGTTTATCCTATCTTTTTATAGTTAATAAAAAACCGGTTGAGTTCTTGTTCAAGCGATTAATTTTGAATTGAAATTAAATGTACCAAGGATATGTATGCGGCCTCCAGGAAATAGCCCTGCGTGGGTTGGTTGCTGCTCGCAGCATCTGCAACCGACCGGCAGGCTCAATCAGTTGTAGATTGGGCCCAGAAATATCGTGACGCCCTGGACCCTCACAGTTGAGCCCCAGGCACATTCTGGAAGGGCCCAGGAGCGCACCTACAAGGACAGAGGCTGTGCAGTCCTTAAGCTGCCTCGCCCAGCCGGTATCTGCACAAAAGGAAGTGCAGCCAGGCACTTCTTCATTCCATTCTCTGCCTGGACAGCGGCTGCGCTGCTGGAGCGCAGGCTCAAGTGCACACGCTAGACCAAGGTCGGGTAGTGCGGTGAAAGCGCTGGCGGGGCACAACATAGCTGCCTGGGTGCAGCAAGGCCAAGCGGCGGCCATAGACGGCCCGCTGCCTGTATGTGCCAGAGGGGGTAGAACTGAGGTCCTGGGAGAGGGCGCTGTGGGCAGAGAGGGTGATTTGTGATGGTGCAAGAATGCACGTACCTGGTGGTGATGAGTGGGTCGGTTCGTCCGAAGTCTTCATTCATCATCTGGCAGGCGCACTTCTCGAAGACCTGTTGACGTCATTAGATGCTAGGGTAGTCTAGGCACTGTCTGATCATAGTCCGAGCGTTGAGCGCCATATAAAAGAGCAATATTGGAATCATTGATGGTGGAGGCGAGATGGGGACTTACGTTGTGAATTGAGTTCATTGCTTTGCTCTTATTTGGCGTATTACTTGGACATACTCCTTTCTGTTTGAGCACCTGACTTTCTGGCTTTCAATGGGATGATGCAATTTTGGTTTCTGTACTTCACATTGTTCAATTTCCTTGCAATCAGCTGAGGAGCAAGTATTTCAAAGGTTCTACGGATGATCTGAACTAGCTTCAGGAGTAGATGAGCAACGATAGGAACCAGACAGCAAGGGTATTTGTAGCAATAGGCTAACTTAGGCGGGGGTGAGGGGAGGTACATCCTTCTGGAAGTAATCAATGTCGCCCACTCCGGTCTCCCAGCCATAGTGGGCAGAAGCGTTTTTTAGTGTGTTGTAATCTGTATTCCTGACTTGCCGGTGTAATAGGAACTGGACTGACGCTCCCCAGAATGGACAAGGAGCCAGAGCCATAAGGCTCTGTTGGGGGGGGGGGGGGGAGAAAAAAAAAACCCTGAATCATTCAATCAAGTGAAAAATACAATTTGATTCAGT